GCCCCTGCCGCTGGCAGCTCGGCGGAGGGACACCTGTGCCCGCAGCCGCGGGGCTGAACACGCCGAGCGCCCGCACCCTCCCGCCAGCACGGAAGGACCCTAAGGACGGCGGCGGCGTTCCAGGAGAGGCCTGTGGGGCCGCGAGGGTGCTGCACAGCACGCGACCAGCTGCGGCTTCTGCGCCCGGTCGCGCCCTTCGGCTCATTCAAGGCCAAGGCGTCCCTGCCCGGCCGGCGACCGCCTCCTCCCGCTCCCAGCCTCAACCTCCATTCTGTCCTGCCCAGCCCCCCACGGCCCCCAGACGGGGCTTCCACAGCCACACCCCAGTGCCCCGGGTCAGAGTTCACGCGGCTCAGCCCTTTAGAGCGCCCCCGCGCCCTGGACGCTTCCTCCTGCATCGCGGATCACACCGCGAGGTCCTGACTCAGCGCGTCGGGGTTCTCCAGTGGCCAGAGGCTTCATCCCTGGTCCAGGACTGGCCCGGAAGGGCCACCCACGCGCCCTGGAGCTGGCGGGCTCCGCTGTCCTCTGGCCCCTTGCCCCACTCTCCGCCGCGCCCTTCCACCCACGGCGCGCCGCGCCCTGCCCTTCCCTGAGCAGCCTGCTCAGCCCCGAGGCGGCGAGAACCCAGCGCATCCTGGGTCACAGGCGGCACTAACGTAGGTCTGGGGTTGCACCCCGCCTCCCACCGCCAAGCCTGGAAGTCAAGGGGGGCGGCGGCAACCTACCTTCTTGGAAAAGACGATCTGCGTGGAGTCTCCCGCCTCCTCCACGGGGGCCCAGTGCAGGAGCACGTCATTGTCCTGCGGGCAGGGGCGGGGCTGACTCCCAAGCTTCTTCCTCCGCCGCACCCGCAGCCGCACACAGCCCCGCGAGTCCCCACTCGGCCTCCGCAGGTCCCGGCCCAGGGCTCCCCACCGCCCGCCCGGGAGCCCCTGCTGCGGGGCTGCGAGCTCGAGCCCGGCGCCCACCTTCTCCACGACTCTGATGACGCCGGCGATGAGGGAGTCGGGGTCCTGATGCTTCTTGGCGCTGGTGTGCAGGTACACACCCCCCTTCTCAAACAGCACCTGGGAAGGGC